ATACGGAGATAAGCGTTGATAGTTCCACGTAGTTTGGGCGCTGCTTGCATGTGGGATTTGCCTCTTTGAGGGCGTCCCTGCCTTTGGTGGGCGAGAGGCCTGTGGTGGTCGAATAAAAACTGCTGTCCGGAGAACCAGCTGGTTTCATCGGCCTGCTTTCGGGAGCACAGGGGGATATGACCACAATCGGCTTGGTCATGAGTTTGGGGTCGTCTGGTTTAGTGCCCGGTGGAAGCCTGTTTCGTGCTTCCACTCCTGACCTGTTGTGACCAAGCTTGCGCGCGTCTAGAGGACGATCCTCAGATAGGCGCCTGATCATTGGGTTGGCCTTTTGAATGCTGCCAGCCCGCTCCAAGATTGCCTGTACGTCGGACAGGGAAGAAAGAGTGACTAGAAGTCCAAGGGTTCGCTTACTTCCCTTTTGGCCATTCCATTCTGCCATGTAAAGCAATAGCACCTGATCGTTCCCATCCATATGTAAGGAAAAGCGTTTGAAGGTAATAAGACCCTCGTTCCTCACCACTTCCCTTTTGGCGTAGCCATTCTGCCATGTAAAGCAATAGCACCTGATCGTTCCCATCCATATATAAGGAAAAGCGTTTGAAGGTAATAAGACCCTCCTCATGTTCCTCACCTACACCGCTGCGCGGGATTTGAAGGGGAACAAAAAACCCACAGGCTCATTGGTCATGCAACTTCCCTCCCAAGGCTCACGATTTGCGGCTGCTACAAACTCCTTACATGGCTTACACCATCCGCCAGATAATGAACGTAACAACCAAGCCCACCTTAAGCGTACAACCAAAATAACTCAGTATTTTTGTTTCTTGTTTAACCTTGGGCTTCTAAAATCCTTATGTTGCGCTCCGAATGTTCCCACAATCACTAGCGCTATAGATGAGTCACTTAGTGACGGAAGCCGTGTTCCTTTATTGTTTGATGGAAGATAACTGACAAGCCTTGATGTTTTGAATTTTTTGGGAATCTTCTTCCAATGCCCTTAAGTTTCCTCTCTGTTTACAGTTGCATGGATTCTCCGAATTTTCGGGGTCACCGTCCCAGGTGGCTGGGCGGCTCGCTCGAGGTTAGCCTGTCAAAGAGTATCTGGGCATGTATGACAACCACAGATCTGAGTCCGCTAAAAAGCAACGTCCCACTCGTGAGTAGGCCAGGATAACCTGGCAACCAAGTTAAACGTCGCAATATTACTACTTGAGGAAGCACTATTCGTGTTGATTCTTTTCCTGTATTCTAATTATGTCCATCATGTTTCCCAGTTTTGTTGTTTCCCTTTGCGCCTTCACTACTGTTCTTGCTTAAACCCGAAAATAAACAGCTCCTGGACCTTGCAATCGCACTTCGTGTTTGAACCAGCCCCTTGGGTCTCGCTATCCTGTGTTCATGCTCACTTGAATCAGTGTGAACTTTGGAATTTATTTTAGAATTAGCAGTCCCCAAACCAGCTCACGGAGACCAGCTCCATCTCATGGTTTGAGGTTTGCACAATTCTATTCCTTTGTTGTATGCGTAAAACAGCATTCTAGTAAACAGTTTCAATGATTTGAATCTGAGGGTTTTTGTGCCTGACTCAACGTAGTCCAGCTTGCTTCAGGTAACGGCTAGCATCTGGTGCACTCTTCCACGC